CATTTTTACAATATTCATACTACCCATTCATGAGCTGGAGATGTCCTTCCTTTTGTTAGTGTCCATCATTTCATTCAGCAATGTTTTGTGGTTCCCAACAGCATATCAAAAAGATAATCCACCGTGATGAAATGAATTTCATACCAGGGATCCAGGGATGGTTGAACATACACAGGTCAATAAATGTGATACACCACATAAACGGAACTAGAAACAAAAATCACGTGACCATCTCAATAGAAATAGAAAAAGCATTTGACAAAATCCAACATCCTTTTATGATGAAAACCCTCAGCAAAATTGTCATACAAAGGTCATACCTCAATGTAATAAAAGCCGTCTAACAAGAGAAAGAAATAAAGGGCATCCAGATCAGTAAATAGGAAGTCAAACTGTCACTGTTTGCTGATGATACAATTTTATACTTAGAAAACCCCAAAGACTCCACCAGAAAGCGCCAAGAAACTGATAAATGAATTTAACAAAGTTTCAGGAGACAAAATTAGTGTACACAAATCAGTAACTCTGTTGTACCGTAACCGCGAATGCTGAGAATCGAACCAAGAACTCAGCCCCTTTTATAATAATTGCAAAAATAAAATAAAATACTTAATAATAGACCTAACCAAGGAAGTGAAAGACCTCTACATGGATCTTTCATGGTAAGCCTTTCTTTTTTTTAACCTACTAAATTACTAGGTATAATTATTTTCTAGTTTTTGTTACTAACCTACTATGTAACCCCTTCCATTTCTTGTTAAAGATCATAAAACTTCACACTCTTTATTCATGCTGACTGCAGTTAGATGATTTGTTTCTTTTTGTTGACTACCTTAAATAATACTTATAAACAGTAAACTGTTAGGATTCTTTTTGGTGTAATTAAATGTAGTGAGACTTATTTTCCAAATTATAACTGAATTCATTTATTAAATACTTGTCGAAGTTTTTGATTTACACAAAATTCTGTCCTCAGCAGCGGGAGGTAGAAAGAGTAAGAGCCCCTCCTTACTCTTATGGAGAGGCATACTTTCTCATGAGGGAAATACTCAGCAAGAATTAGTATCTTGTAACCAGTGGTGAATTTGATTAATTAGTGTACAGAAAAACAAAAACAAAACTTTTTTGTGTGTGGCTGCTGACAAAGAGATCCAAGAAGATAGTAGGAATCAAGCTTGCTGAAACAAGGAGAGAGAAAAACAGTGTTCTGGGCAGAGAGCAAGGGTATAGCAGGAAAATGCCTAGGTGCAGGTCAGATGATTTATAGAATGAAATTAATCAACTTTTGAAATGAATGGCAATGTTCTCTGAGAGTTTCATTTGAGTCATGTCATGGTAGTCTTATTTAAACATGAAGTGAAAGTTAAAAATTTATCTGTTTTCAGGGTGTGAGAGAATATTTAAGTGATAATCTTTTTATCCTCCACATAAGAAAGCAGGACTAGAGAAACCTATGGCTTCCTCACTTGGTGGTGGCCTAGCAACCCTTGCACACAGAACCTCTGAATGTGACACACCTGTTTTGTCACAATATTGCCTGAAATAATACATGTAGGATTAGTAAGTTTGTGAATACATTAGTCTTGTATTCATTGCAATAAATTTCTCTCTTATCAGTATTATTTAATACATTATATTTTATTGTAATAAATTAATAGAAATTCTCAGCTGCTTTATATCATGGTATAAAAAACAGTGAAATTGTATTTTAAACTTTCGTCATTATATGTAAAGAGAATTCATAAAATCCTTGTTAGGTTTGATGACAGGTAGCATATTAAGAGCAGCATTTTCTAACCCATGTCTCAATATCATCTCTGGAAGTTAAGAGCCTCCAATGGTTTTCCTGTACAGTGCACATGGTATCACACTCAGGAAGTTCATGGAGTGTAAGAAATATCTTAGTGCTTTGTCATTTGACATTTTAACTGAGAAAAAAAAAAAAGACACTGATAAGTGTACCTTATCCTTCCCTTCCTCTTTAGATATATACGAATCCTTTTTCTTCGAAATGCAGCTCATGCTCAACAATCTTGCTTGAAGACAGCACAACCGGCCGCCCTCATTTTAAAATGACACTAAAATCGTGAGTATGACTATACTGCCAAGGGACAGATTAAAATTATTTCAGCCATTTGTTTGTCCTCTTCAATCAGTTTAAGAAATTGGAGTCAATTATATATTGATACCAGATTCTAAATATTAAGTATCAATTTCTCTTTTCATCTACATCATAGTGGAAGGAAAAATCTCTTAGCAAATAAGGAATTTCAGAAAAAGTGTTGCTATTTATTTGATGCCTTTATGCCTTAAGAGAATGTTGAATGCAACGATAGGTTCCCTTTATTGAATGTTTTTTGTGAAAAATTAGTTTCTCAGTGAGTTTCAGACCTAAGTCAATGTGTACTACTTTGGACATTAGTCTTAGAAGAAGGAACAGCTTTTTCTCCTAAGGCACCACAGTGTGTCTGCATTTGAATTTCTCCTATTGTGCATGAGCACCTCAAGGGCCACAAAGATGCACTTTGAGAGCACTCTGAGATGAAGTTTATTTTTTAAAAGGAACAACCACCAACACCACCATCTCATGGGTTGTCCAGTAATCATTATTATAATCTCTTTGGTTATGAGTGTTGATTTTTAGAGCACAGTTTACAAAGTGCTAATTTAGAATATTAATGTCCTTATATTTAAGTTTACTTTTCATTCTAGAAATATAACTAGCTAGCTTACAAACAATTTTGTTTTGAATGTGCTAGCCTTTTTAGCTAATTCAATTGTCAGTAACTTTTACTTTAATTAAAAATGGCAGGTTTACGCTCATAATAATGTCACTTTCCTCCCTCCCTTATAACAATAGTTGAGATGAAATTGTGTTTCAGCAAAAATTGGAATCAAATTATGTCTTAGGTGCTGAACTTTAGGACCTATTGAGTAATCACTAAATGTCTGTAGTCAGCCAAGTTTCTTCAATCTTTTTTCTTTTCTTTTTTTTTTTCTTTCTTTCTTTTTTTTTTTTTTTTGAGACGGAGTTTTTCTTTTGTCTTATTGCCCAGACTGGAGTGGAGTGGCACCATCTTGACTCACCACAACCTCCACCTCCCAGGTTCAATCAACTCTGCCTCAGCCTCCCATGTAGCTAAGATTACAGTCAGGCACCACTGCACCCAGCTGATTTTGTTTTTTTGTTTTTCGTTTTTGTTTTTCTTTCTTTTTGGAGACTTGAGGTTTCTCTGTGTTAGTCAGGCTGGTCTCGAACTCCCAACCTCAGGTGATCTGCCCACCTCTGCCTCCAAAAGTGCTGGGATTACAGGCATGAGCCACCACACCTGGCTGTCTCTTAAATCTTTGAGCATAAAAACAAACAAACAAACAAACTACTTTGGCCAAAGTCCCTGGCTGCTTTTGAATTCAAGCGATTTTTATGTGTTAACATAGAATTCCAAAGTAGCTTTGAAGATCGCCTTGTTCAAACAAATTTCATGTTTTTTCCTCATTCTTCTAATTTTTAGAAGTCTACTTTCAAAAGTAACGTAAGTTTTAATTTGCCATCAGCAAGTTTGGGAAATGATCATTTGGTGTATTCACTCTTGGTGAAATAGAGGTTTATTGAGCAAATTAATAGGGCAAATTGGCTTCAGGAAAAGATTTTGAAAAATGTTCATCACAAGTTAGTAGTGCTTTGTTATCAGTGGGATAGGTGGAACTCATTGGGATTGCTTTTGCAAAGTTTGTCTTCAAAATACATGTCTGCAAATACATGTGTCCTCCAATCTCCACTTTCCCTCTATCTCCAGGCACTGAGAAGCCTTTTAGGAAAACATAGCATCTTTATGTGAAGGAAAACATCCCAGAAGATTCTGATTTTCACCCCAACTCAATCATTTCAAATTTTGCTGAACATTGAAATCACCTGGGAAACTTTTACCAACAACCCTGATGGCCAAAGTTATATCCAATGCTAATTATTGAAAATGAGGCAGTTATTAAAGCTTCTCAGGTGATTTTAATGTGCAGCAAAATTTAGAACCACTGCCTAATTTGAGTTTAGGGCAAGAAACTGCTCCTGTTTGTTGGGACCTTGGGCAAGTCAGTTTAAAGATTTGTTTCCCTGACCTGTAAAATGAGTGTTGGATTAAATGTCTTGTAAGATCATTGGTCCTTTCCAGCATATAACTTCAAATTCTGTGATTTTAAAATTATTTCAGAGATGAAAACTACTTGAAGCACTATAGGCATATCCATCTGAAGTGCTAATTTTACAGGCTTTTTAAAAAGTGCTATTACTAAAATTGAGATTTGCCTTCCCTCAGTTATTTTGAGCCTCATTGTAGATGCTGAGGGCAAATGGAAGCACATAACTTACGTAAGAGAACCTCTTGTTTTCTGATACACAGCATCAGTGGGTAACTTAGGAATACAGTTACATATATCTGAAGAGTTCTATCTGTTCATAAATATTTCAGTTAAACTAGCTGAAGATACCTGCCATTGATATTACACTGTTTCATGCTATACTACCTTGTTAGCACTGCTTATTTTAGGATTGCTGTACCTGTCATTGATGTCTTGTGAGCTTGTTTACTCATACATTTTCTAATAATTATGCAAAAGCAATTTTAAATAATTTTATTTGTTATAAAGCACTTTCATTATGTTATGCATTTTTTGGGAAATAATTTTAAAAATGGGTGGGTAGGAGACAGTGAACTAAACTAAAATGCAGGGCCTAACATCTTAAAAAAGAAACCACTACTGTGTGGCTGAAATTTAAACATAATGTACACATAGATATAAATTGCATGAGTCATGGTTTGGCGGCTCAAGCTGTAATCCCAGCACTTTGGGAGGCTGAGGCAGGCAGATCACTTGAGGCCAGGAGTGTGAGATCAACCTGACCATCATGGCAAAACCCCATCCCTACTAAAAATACAAAACTTAGCCGGGCATAGTGGCACCAACCTGTAGTCTCAGCTACTTGGGAGGCTGAAGCATGAGAATTGCTTGAACTTGGCAGTTGGAGGTTGTGGTGAGCCAAGGTTGCGCTGGGCTACAGAGCAAGACTCTGGGTCACACAGTAAATAAATACATAAAATAAATTTCATATGATGAAAGGTTTTGTGGGTAGAAGAACATATAACGGGGAAATATGTTATTATTTATGTATTATAATCATCTACAGAAATACGTTTTCTAATAGTGTATTGTATTTCCTTGCATTTTTGTTCTCATATTTTTGCTAAAACCCAATAAATGAAAATAAGAAAGTGCCTTTATGGTACTGTTCTGAACTAGAAGGTTTTAATTTCAGGGCCGCTAGGAGAGTTTCCACCACACCCTTTTAAAAAAATGTCTTCAGACCTAACAAATGATAACATCTATTGTTATGAATGTTTTTCCTTCCACAGTGTGGCCTTAGAGATATATTATCTTATCAAGAAAAGGTGAGCTTTTTTAAAAACTGTCTTGTTATTCTGGCTAATTACTTTGCAAGCTATCAAGCTCTTTAGGTCGCAGCTCTAGACATCATGAGCTGTATTGAGCCTACTAAAATATCCAAGCAAATTATTTGTGTTTTCTTTGGTCCTTAACACTTTTAATTCTTAAATGATTGGGAATCTCAAAGAGTATGTATTTATATTGATGATATTGATATTTATGGTCATAGAACTATAAAATTGAGATTTTTTTCAAAATCTATTTTTAGTTTAGATTTCACAGCCTTACCACTGTTGCTATCTTGATCTAGATAACGCTTTGTCACGAGGACTGTCCTGTGCATTGCAGAAGGTTTAGCAGCACTGGTGGCCTGTACCAAGTAGATGTCAGTAATAACCCATGACCCAGGTTGTGACAACAGAAAATACTCCTTGAGAACAATATTGTTAACATAAAATTTTTAATGAGAAAATAGATTTTCTACAACAAAAAGTTGAGTAAAAAGTGCGTCATATATTTATATTATTGAAAACCTCGAATGTCGCACTTAATAGAAGACAGCTGGATTCTCTAGGTCTTTTTCTGCAATTTGCTTTAAGAAGCAATAAGATGGCCAGGTGTGGTGGGAGGCACCTGTAATCCTAGCACTTTGGAGAGGCCAAGGTGGGCAGATTCATTTGAGGTCAGAAGGTTGAGACCAGCCTGACCACCATGGTGAAACCCATCACTACTAAAAATACAAAAAATAGCTGGGCGTGATAGTGCATGCCTGTAGTCAAAAAAGGGAAGCAATGACATGACCTAATCTCATGCAAATATGTAGTTGGTAAAAGGTGCATTTTTAAAGCTTTGAGACAGCTGTGTGTATTTAATAGTAAGTGAAAACTTGGCAAGTGCTACTTTTTAAAATTAGTTGCAGTGGTATTATACATATTAATAAATTTATTTGGTCAGCACTCACTAATCTGTCTTGCATGGTAAATGGATCTTCCCCCCATACTTGCATTTATACTATCATGCATTAGTTATTTGGAATATATTGGTTTATGTTTTATTGTGTCAAAAATCACTTTTAACCACCAATATTATTTTAAGTCGTTAAGTATTGAAAAGCTGTCAAGCCTACAGTAGAAGGAGTGAGATTTTCAAAGTCCTCAGGAAAGCTTAATTTATCATTGGGAACACGTGCTTATTTTCCTTGAAGTGACAACCTCAGTTCATTTATTTTTGAGAATGATAGTTGTCCTTTTTTTTTTTTAGACTGAGTCTCACTCTGTCACTTGGCTGTAGTACATTGGCATGATCCCACCTCAAGCAATTCACCTCAGACTCCTGTGTAGCTGGGACCACAGAGGTGTGACACCACGTCTGGCTAATTTTTGTGTATTTTTGGTAGAGACAGAGTTTCACCATGCTTCCCAAGCTACTCTCGAACTTCTGAAGGAGCTCAAGCGATCTGCCTGCTTTGGTCTCCCAAAGGGTTTGGATTTTAGAGGGATGAACCAATGCACCGGCACAGTAGTACTTTTAAATAAAAATGATGTCTGTGTAAAAAGTGATTGTTCTGCTCACAATTAAATCATGAATTTTTTTAAACACAACTGTACTGCAGTCAGCAGAAGTGCTTCTTCTTAGCTTTCTACTGATTCAGAATACTAAAGAGACATGTCAAGATTTAGTAACACCATTAATTTTTACCGCCTCAACAAAGATATTCTTAAGTACTTTAGACTGCTTTTTAACTGTAAGGAACAATAAAGAACAGAATTACTACCGGTGTAATTGGTACCACTGTCTTGATTTAGGCTGAGAAACCAGCAGCTTTATCCACTTTTGCTTTTATACAGTTATGGCAAGTGTCTATGAAAAAGTAATCAGTGTCTTTGTATTACTTTCTTAATTCAAAAAAAAAATTTGTATCAACTTTCTGAGGTTGAATTAGTATAATTATCAGAACAGTGTCCAGCAGACACAGTGACTCAGGCCTGTAATCCCAGCACTTTAAGAGGCCAAGCAGATGGATCACCTGAGGTCAGGAGTTCACGACCAGCCTTGCCAGCATGGTGAAACCCCATTTCTACTAAAAATACAAAAGGTAGCGTGGTAGTAGGCGCCCATAATCCCAGCTACTCAGGAGGCTGAGGCAGGAGAATCACCCGAACCTGGGAGATGAAGGTTGCAGTGAGCCAAGATCCCACCATTGCACTCCAGCCTGGGCAACAAGAGTGAAACTCCATCTCAGAAAAACAAAAACAAAAAAACAAAACAAAGAAAAACAAAAGAAAACCATGTTGACCTCTTAGGCCTTCTCAGAAAGGGTCTTCGGGATCCCCAGAGGTCCACAGAGCACATTGGGAGAACCACTGGTTTATCACACAGGCACAATGCATTAGTTTTATAAAATTTAAAGTTAATCAAAGACTAGCCTCTTTTAAAATAAAAGGGCAGATGAGTTTTTAATTCAAACAACAGAAAATAAATAAATTCATCATGAAAGTATACTACAGGGGACTAAAAAGAAAGGAAGCTAGGAAATCAGAATCACATGTACATTTATTGAAGTCCTAAAGACTTTATTGCCCACCACTACTGCTTTGTAAAACATTCTTGTGTTTCAATGTGTGGTTAAGAAGAGAGAAAATATGTTTGGTTTATTGCCATTGCCTGTTAGGGAGGGTCAATACCTATAGGCAGTTCTGACTGGTTATTGTGAAAAAGACTTCACAGTACAGGATATGATGTGCTGAGGAAGAAGAGGTCGGGTAACATTCTGCAGTTCAGGATCCAGGAGAAGAATTTGTAAAAATGTTTGCTTTGGTGAAGTAAACACCAAAGCACATAGGAGGCATTATTATACTAAAAAGGTATTATACTACGATATTCACAGTTTTTGAAGTAATGCACATTCTTATTTTGTAGAGATGAAAATAGAACTTTGGAAATATTTGATGAACGTATATTCCCACTTCATGTAAGTGGCACTTTTATTGAGGTTGTATTTTTGTTATAGACTTGTATTTGTTTCATGCTGATGTCAAAGCCATCTTTAAATCCTCCCCATTTCGTGTTGCATTTAATCATCTTAGATGTTGTAAAAAGAATGTATTAGAATAAGAACTGATCTGCAGCTCTGTTTAGTGAACTAGTATGAGTAAATCTACTATCGAAATAACAAAAAATGTATCTTTTAAAAGACAGTTATTAGTAGCATCAAGCAATATGAGTATATGTAAATACTTTTAACACAGAAGTGTGACTTTTATGAAGAGAGTTAAAAATAATTTAAGTTTAAATCAACCTACATGTTATAAAAATTTAAAAATGTACTTCCTCAAGTACATAATAGCCAGATGTGGCTAGTGACTATTGTATTTAACAGCATAGGCTTAGAGCCTCATGGTTACAGGAAACTGTATTTTCTCAAAGTTTATTGCAGAAAATGACATACCATCAGTAAGACATTAAAGCCTAAGAGTAGCTTACATTTGGATAGAATTATGTGGGGCAAAGAGGAAAAAGGGCAAAAATTTTCTGAACTTTAGCTCATATGATTTTTAAGAGAACGTTGATGAGTATTAAATCATTATGGTATTTAAAGATCCCACTGTTCTTATTGTAAAAACTAAAAGACACCTCCCCAATCAAAATTATTGTAAATGATACATGTTGACAAATGTGAACACTGCTGTCTTAAGAGCACTTCAGGTTTTCTCTTCAAAGGATACTAACTTTGCATCCTTTCTTCTTTCAGCGAGGAGAGGTTCCGGAAGAATACTTCACGTATGATCCTACACACAAAATCATTTTCAAATTTATGCGTACTCTGTGCAATGCCAAAAAGGTAGAAGCTTACTTAGTAATCATAAGTTTGGTAAGATATTTTCTATTTATAAAGCATCTTTAGAAATTGGTCTTGTAGAGTGGCCTGGCCAATGTGGTTAAACCCTGTCTCTACCAAAAATACAAAAATTAGCCAGGTATGGTGGCACACCCCTGTAGTCCCAGCCACTTGGGAGACTGAGGCAGGAGAAGTGCTTGAACTCAGGAGGCAGAGTGCAGTGACCTGAGATCAAGGCAGTGTACTTCAGCCTAGGCAAGAGAGCAGGGCTCTATTTCCAAAAAAAAAAAAAAGAAAGAAATTGATTTTGTAAACTGGGTAGTATGTTCCTGATTTTAAATGAAAGTAGGTTTCTGAAATTATCTCAGAACTTTAAGAGAAACTTATGAAAGCAAATACACACATTTGAGTTAAATCATCATTATGGCTTAAATGTTGCCTTGCGTTTCTCATTACAGAACAATTATTATTAAAGGCAGCAGGAGGGATTTCTGATTTCTCCCCCCACACTTCAGTGCACACATGCGCACGCAGTATGCACACATCCAGAGCATGTGGATGGCTTGGAATGAAGAGCAGTAACAAGACCACCTGGTTCATGGGCAGGAGTGTGTGCCATTGCAGGTCTAAACTGAGTCCCAGGGTGTATCCCCAGGCAGTTCTCATGTATGTTGTGATTGAGAGCTACTGCCCTCCATTCATTCTTCCTTGGATGTGTTAATCTACCCCCGCTGGGCAGAGTAGGTAGCAGAAATATTTGGGCTATGATTGTGATATGGCCCCTTACTTAACCTGATGAAACAAAGTCTCTGTAGAACATGAGAATAAAAGGCATCTACTTTCTGGTCAAAACCAGAAGTATTCTGGTTTTTCATAAGAATTCTTATCAGAGCACTCTAACTGAGCTAAATCAAAGGCCAGTGCTCTGTTTTCCAGGTATACATAAAAAGACTTCTAGAGTGTGCTAATATCAACCTTTGTCCATCCAACTGGAAGAGGATTGTCTTCGGAGCCATTCTTCTTGTCGTCAAGTTTGGGAGTGATGTGGCTGTGTGCAATAAGCACTTATGCAAGGTCTTTGAGAAAATGACAGTTGACAATATGTGAGTTTGTACGGTTTTTGTGAACTTTCTAACCATTGTTGAATACTTTATTTGCTCCCATAAACATAAACACTTTGAGAAATACTTTTAAAGGTCACATTATGCAGATAATAAGAATGGGCATAAATACCACATACTCTTTCTCCCCAGCTTTAGAAGAACAGTTCATATTTTTCACTATTCATTGTTAGGTCTTGGTAAATTGCCATTGTAATAATCTCATAAATGGAAAAGTATTTTTCTGGTGAATGTTTTTGGCAAATATCTTAACAGTGTACAGTGAGAAACATAATAGTACAGTCAGTTTCCTTATGGCTTTTACAAGCTGTCTGCAAGTTCTAGTCCCTTTGTGAGGAGCGCATATCTGGCCTTTGAAATAATTGTTTGCCCATTGATAGGTCTGGGGCCTCTGCATTGTGAAGTATAGCTTCACCCTGAGCCATACGTTGTGTATTTGCATTTGCTGGTGTTCTCCTGCTTTTCTCTGAAGATCCGTTTTATAGAAACCTTGAGATACAGAATAGCCACAGTTCCCTGTGCCCCGTCCTCTCCCCATTAGGAGTGTTGCATCACTGGGCTGATGAGTTAGAAGTTCCAGTGTTCCCCTCAGGCAGTCTGAGAAACATTGTTGGGGCATCACCCCATGCTCACCACACTCAGTAGATTCCCGGGGCATTAATGCAACCACAGCAACACTTGGAGGGCCCCAAGGTATCTATGAGAATGCAAGAAATCTTGCTGAATCATGGGATTGCTCATAGACAGCAACATGACACTGAAACAGGAGCTTCATGTGTCTTTCTTTCAGTCTGGCCTCATGACTGCTGTAAAGGGAAGGATCTTGAAGCTAGTTTGTAGGGTGAGCCAGGGAGGCATTTCCAGCACAGGTTCTCACAGTGTCCATTAGACAGCAAGAATGGCTCTGTGAGTGACACTTGGAAAATCTGAAGGAACACCTCTTGATGACATAGAAGCATATGAAGCATATGAAGATGAAGATCCTCAGGCAGTGGAAAGAGGTTTTTGTTTTGTTTTGTTGGTTTCTTTGTTTTTACATTTGCCTATTACTCCAGATAAGACTGTGATTCAGGATGTATGCAGTCACAAATAGAAGTCTCTGCCAATTGTGCTCCCCACAGGAATAACAACTTTAGCAACTATCTAAATAAAAAAGCACCTCCATAAGAACTGAAAATTATTTGAATGTTCATATGATGTGGTTTTAATGTCATATCAGTGAAAGAGGCACTGAACAGCATAGAAAAGACAGTCTTGAATTGTTGATGCCACCACTGTGAACCTGTGGCAAGGAGAGAGGCTACGTGCTTGGGGAAGGGAGAGCACAGCAGCTGTGGGACTTTGCCTGAACTCAGTGCCGCCTCGTCATAGCAGAACGCAAAACAAAGCTGAATCCACCCAAAGCCCATCCACAGAAAAAACATTTAGACTAGCCCCAACCATAGGGGAATTATTCATCCCCGTGGTTGGAACTTGAGTGGTGAAAGCCTGGCTGCCATGGGATAAAATAGTCTGGAATCCTTAATCAACCTGAAAGCCTGTCTAGGTCACAAGGACTGCAACTCCTAGTGCCATCTGGACAGACTTAGTGCTGTCCCAGAGGTCATGGCCACAGGGGTGCTTGTATCACTCCTATCCCAGCTCCAGGCAGCTTAGCACAGAGAGACAGACTTCATTTGTGGGAAAGTAAGTGAAGAAGTGAGTCTCTGTCCATTAATCTAGAGAATTCCTTCAGGACTGATCTCAGACCACCAGTGTGGAACCTCCACAATTCTGCAAAAAGCAATGACATTCTTCACAGAAATAAGAATAAAAAAAGAATCCTAAAATATATAGGCTCAGAATATCCAAAGCTAACCTGAGCCAAAACAAAGCTGGGGGAATTACATTATCTAATTTCAAGTTACCCTCTACACCTGTAGTAACCAGAACAGCATGGCACTGTGATTAAAAACAGACACGTAGCCCAGTGGAACAGAACAGAAACCCAGAAACCAATTCATACATCTGCAGTGAACTCATTCTCTATGAAGGTGCGAAGCACATGCAATGGGGTAATGACAGTCTCGTCATTAAGAGCTGCTGGGGAAACTGGATATCCACATGCAGAAGAATGAAACCAGGCCTCTATTTCTTACCTTATACAATCATCAAACCAAAATGGATTAAAGATGTAAGTCTAAGCTGGGCATAGTGGCTCACACTTGTAATCCCAGCGCTTTGGGAGGCCAAGATGGGAGAATGGCTTGAGCTCAGGAGTTCGAGACTCTCTGGGCAATGCAGTATCTCTGTCTTTTAAAAAACTAAAAATAGATCTAAATCTAAGACCTCATATATGAAACTAAAATAAAACAGTGGGAAAACTCTCCACGATATTGGACTGGGCAAATATTTCTTGCATAATGTTTTATATGCACAGGCAACCAAAGCGAAAATGGGCAAATTAGGTCACATCAAGTTAAAAAGCTTCTGCACAACAAAGGAAACAGTGAACAAAGTGTAGTGACAACCCACAGAATGGGGGAAGGTATTTGAAAACGATCTGACAAGGGATTAATTACCAGAATACCAAGGAGCTGAAATAACTCCATAGAAATAAAAATAACAATCTGATTTTTAAAATGGGCAAAATATCTGAATAGACTTTTCTGAAAAGAGGACACATTAGGCAGGCTTGGTGGCATGTGCCTGTAATTTCAGTGGTTTAGGAGACTTAGATGTGAAAATTACCTGAGCCTGGGAGGTCAAGGCTGCAGTGAGCTGTGATTCTGCCACTGCATTCCAAACTGATTGACAATGTGAGACTGGTTTGAAAACTCCTTAAGAAAGGCATACCAATGGCAAACAGGTATATGAAAAGATACTCAACATCAATATCGTTGATGTTCAGAGAAATGCAAATCAAAATTATAACGAGAGATCATCTCACCGCACTTAAAATGGCTCTTGTTTTAAAAACAGGCAATAACAAATGCTGACAAGGTTATAGAGCAAAGGTAACCCTTGTACACTGTCAGTGGGAATGTAATTTAAATACAGCCACTACGGAGAACAGTTTGGAGGTCCTCAGAACTAAAAATGAAGCCACCATATGATCCAGGAATCTCACTGCTGGGTATAAACCTAAAAGGAAGGAAATCAGCATATCAGAGAGATAGCTGCCTCTCATGTATGTTGCAGCACTATTCACAGCAGCCAAGATTTGGAAGCATTCTGAGTATTCATCAACAGATGAGTGGCTAAAGAAAATGGTTCATATACACAACAGAGCACTATTCAACCATAAAGGAGAATGAGATCCTGTTATCTGCAACAACATGGATGGAAATGTTAAGTGAAATAAGCCAGACACAAAAAGACAAAATTCACCTATTCTCACTGATTTGTGGGAACTAAAAGTTAAAACAATTTAACTCATGAAGGTATAGAGTAGGAGAATTGTTTGCAGCTGCTGGCAAAAGTAGTATGGGGGATGAGGGGAGTAAGGGGTGATGGTTAATCGGTGCACACATTTGTTCAGAAAGAATAAATAACATCTCGTATTTGATAGCACAACAGGGTGACAACAGTCAAGAATTATTTAATTGTATATTTTACAGTAACTAAAAGTGTAATTGAATTATTTGTAAAAAAAAAAAAAAATGAAAAAGATACATGCTTGAGGTGCGACTGATTTTCCATTTACACATTATAGGTCTGTATCAAATAATTTTATATACCCCATAAAATGTGCACTTACAATGTACCCCCCAGAAATTTTAAAGACTTTTATTCAGAATTAACACAGTGTATATTTACAACTGAAATGAGGCTTCTTGTAACCAAAAAGAGAATAGTGATGGTTGGTTGCTATTCAAATGGCCAAGTTACGACTTTACTAATAGTATAAACTGAGCTGTCATGGTGATATTGCTAGTAGCCATTTTAGTAAAGGATTTAACAGAAAATGAACGTCATTTGAAAGTTGCAGGAGCTAAAGTTCTGTTAATCACTACTGTCATCAATCTGTAAACTGGTTTCTTTGTGTGTGTGTGTGTGTGTGTGTGTGTGTGTGTGTGTGTGTGAGAGAGAGAGAGAGAGAGAGAAAGAGAGAGATGGAGTTTTGCTTTTGCTGCCTAGGCAACAATGTGCAATGGTGTGATCTTGGCTCGCCACAGCCTCCGCCTCTTGGGTTCAAGCAGTTCTCCTGCCTCAGCCTCCTGAGTAGCTGGGATTACAGGCATGTGCCACCACACCCAGTTAATTTTCTATTTTTAGTAGAGATGGGGTGTTTCATAATATTCAGGAGCCTGGAGAGACCAATGGGTGAAACAGGAGGATTTTATTGAGGTGGCCACCAGCTCGGCAGATTTGCATCCCAAGGCTGAGAGCCTAACAAAGACAGGGCTTGATTTGTTATACAGCCAGGATGACATAGCAACTAACAGGTTTACAGAAGCCAGAGGAAAGAACAGTTAACTTGTGACATGTCTTGTGATGTATGTTATGTTTGAAAATCGCATTTTGAGAAACACATGGCACATTCTTTGGGTGTTATATTATCTTGTGACCTTGCAGCTAGTCTGCAAGAAAAATGGGAGGCTTGATATGCCTGGGAACTTTGCTGAGAAAGTAGGAAGAGTAGGTAAGGTAGATTTTATAGGGAGTTAGTTAATTTCAAGCAGAGCTGGAGGTTAGGTTTTATATTGAACACAACAGTAAATTTTTATTATGTAGCAATTACAGACTACTATTGTTACTATTTAATTTCCCTCTTCAGGGGCTTCTTCATGTTGTTTCTCCATGGATCATGCTGGTCTCGAACTCCTGACCTCAGATGATCCACCCATCTAAGCCTCCCAAAGTGCTGGGATTACAGGCCTGAGCCACTGTGTCCAGC